TGGGTTTCCGAGGCAGTATCACTACAGAAGTAGGATTGCCCAACCTTCCTTCCGAGGAGTGGCTGGTGGGTTTGAACCACCAGCCGTCTGCTTAGCAGGCAAGTGTCTTAGCCACTATGCTACCAGAGCTCATATATATATATATCACTGCCATTGAGTTGGTTCCAATTCTTCTCTATCTGTAACATGCAGAGTTTAATATATTTCTAAATATTTTCATTAGTCAAATGTTTGTTCTTTTTTTGTGTGTGTGCCAAGCTTTATGTAAAAATTTTTGCATTGTGTTTTTTATATACACTTTATGTTGTTTGTATCTTCTTCATGTGAAATATGGAAATCTATATAAGTGTTTACCTTTATGTTTGTTAAATACATATCTAAATCTTTGTTTTCTAATTTTCATAGTCAAGAATAAAGCAATACCAATGCATAGTGAGGATTTTAACACATTCTAACATCCTTTTCTCAACCTCAATACATTTTCCAATCTTTGTAAATTAATCTTGCACAATCTTACTCATCACTTCATCTGTACATATTTTATCTATGGCATAGTGCCTAAGGCACTTGACTGTTAATCAGAAGGCTAGTGGTTCAAACCCACCACTTACCCCTAGGAAGGAAGACTGAGCAATCTACTTCGGAAGAGATACCGCCTCAGAAACCCTAAGAAGGGTCACTATGAGTCGAATCCACTCGATGGCAGTGAGGGTTTTCTTTTCTTTTTTTTTTTTTAATCAATAGTTTTTCAAGATATGGTTTTCAATTTTTTGCCATAGTTATAATTATTTACTCCTAACTTCATATACTTAATTAATAGAACCAGCACTAAAGTTTTCTGTTAATTCTTATTTTCCATTCTTGAGTCTTCATTTAGATTTATCTATTCATTTGCTAGGAGTTCTGGTAGCATAGTGCCTAAGAGTTGACTGCTAACCAGAAGGCTGGTGGTTCAAACCCACCAGCCACTTCTCGGAAGGAAGATGGGGCAATCTACTTCTGTAGTGATACTGCCTTGGAAACCCAAGGAGGGGTCACTATGAGTTGGGGCCAACTCGATGGCACACAACAACAACAACATTCATTTGCTAAATTATATCTTGAAGTATTTTTAAACAAGAACATCATACAAATGTTCTTAGTACTTTCATATGTAAGAACATCTTTCTATTTACTTTATCTCAATTCAGAATAAAATGTTCAGGTCATAAGCTTTTCACTTGAAATTCTATATAAATTATTCTGTTACCTTCTGACTTTTTTTGTTGTAGAATCGAAGTCTGAGGCTAGTGTGATTTTTATTCATATACTGATTGTTTTTTGTTGTTGTTTTTGTTTTCTTATATGAATGTAGAAAATCTTTATTTTACAATATTTTGCCAAGAGATCTAGAAGATTACATTTTGCATCAAGTTTGACTAGAATATTCTGAGCTTTATCAATCCAAACACTCTCTTTTTCCTAGTCTTTGAAAATGTTTCTTCTATTATAAATTTGATGATTGATTCTGTTCCATCTGTTCTTTTTTCTTTTTTAGGAACACAAATGGTTTATTATCTAGATGTCCATTATTTTATCCTCCATATCAATCATTA